AAGCTCTTTTCCTAGATTTGACATAAACCTGCTCACAACGCCCACTGCATGAGCAATGTTTGGTCTTGTACATACCATAGCATATATTCAACTACCAACCGCATATGCGTAGGGAATTTTAGCCATCTGTTCCTTGTCTTCTTCCGTCTTTGGGGATTGTTTCTTTGAGAGTCTCAACTGACTACCGAAAGGTGTACTTATGGCCTTAGCATCTGCCATGCTGAAGTTTTCTAAAACTTTCTTGATGTACTTAGCTTGTGAAAGTTTTAGTGTACCGGTAACTCTGTTCTTGGCTATTCTCATGCCTAATATCTGCTTAGCAGCCCCTAAGTCCTTCATCTCGAACTCTCTGGATAACTGCTTCTTAAGCTTGTTGATCTCTCTTGCATGTCGGACCCAGCGATCAACATGTCATCAACATACAATAACAGGATGATGTATAAGGAGTTGAATTTCTTCAAGTAACAACAATGATCCATCTCACATCTGTGATACCCACTCCTTTGCATGAAGCTATCAAACTTCAAGTACCACTGCCTTGGAGCTTGCTTCAATCCATATAGACTTTCTTCAGCTTACACACCAGATTTTCCTTACCAACTGTGGGAAAACCCTCTGGTTGTACCATGTAGATGTCTTCTTCTAGGTCAGCATGGAGAAAATATGTTTTCACATCTAGCTGCTCTAGATGGAGATCTTCAGAGGCTATAATACCTAAGACCATTTTGATTGTAGTCATCTTCACAACTGGAGAAAATATCTTATTGTAATCGATCCCTCTTTTCTGTTGGAACCCCTTAACCACCAACCTTGCCTTGTATCGTTTGGTGCCTTAATCTCATCTTTGACCCGAAACACCCATTTGTTTTGCAGTACTTTCTTCCATGTTGGGACCTTGACCAAGGACCAAGTATGGTTCTTGTCAAGTGAGCTCAACTCATCTTCCATAGCCTTCTTCCACTGTATGAAAATTTTCATCCTCAAGGCTTCTGGATAAGACTCAGGTTCACCATTCTCTGTCAACAGCAAGTAATTAGTTGAAAGAGAATACCTGATTGTAGGTCTTGGTATTCTTATGGGTCTCCGAATAGTAGGAGTAATGGTCTCTACATTATCTGCAACCTCGTCCTCTAAACTACCATCTTCTTTTACAAAGTAGTTCCCACTGCTTCTTGAACTTTCACTTATATCTGGAGTATTGACTAGTTTTACAATGTTTTCGTCTAAGATTTCTTCGAACACAACCTGTTCTTTCTTTTTTGGTTGCTTCTCACTATTGGAGCTCTTTGAAAGTTCATCCTTGTATAGAGCACTCTCGTTGAACACCACATCCCGGCTTTTGATAACCTTTTTATTCTCGTTATCCTAGAATCGGTACCCCATGTCATCCAACTCGTATCCTATAAAGGTGCACTTCCTTGCTTTTGCCTCTAGCTTGTCTCTCTCCAAATCTTTAACTTTGACATATGATACACAACCGAATACCTTCAAATGTTTGAGTGAAATCTCCCGACCTTGCCATTCCTCTTCTAGAATCTTGAACCCTATGGGGATTGAGGGTCCTCTGTTGATTAAATATGCGACTGTGTTGACCGAATCTGCCCAGAACATGTTGGGTAAACTTGCATCCAGTCTCATGCTTTTAGCCCTCTCGTTCAATGTTCGGTTCATCCTCTCAGCTATTCCATTCTGTTGAGGTGTCTCTGGAACCGTCCTCTGCATTATGATTCCCTGGTCAGCACAGTAATCAACAAATTCTTTGCTACTGTATTCACCCCCATTGTCTGATCTGAAACACTTGATTTTCAAGGTCGTTTCATTTTCTACGATAGCTTTCCATTTCTTGATTGTGCTGAAAACTTCAGACTTATGCTTCAATAAATAAACCCAAACATTACTCGTGCAGTCGTCAATGAACGTGACATAGAACCAGGATCCTCCCACTAAATAAACCGAAGTGGGACCATAAACATATGAATGAACTAATTCCAATTTCCCGAACTTAGGTGGATGACCAATCTTTTTGAAAGTAACCTTCTTCTGTTTACCAAGAACACATGGCTCGCAGAAGTCAACTGTCACAGTCTTCAGATCTGGTATTATTCCTTTGGAGACTAGAATCTTCATTCCTTTCTCACTCATATGTTCAAGTATTTGGTGCCATAGAGTGGATGCCCCAACTTCTTCAATAGAATGTGCTTCAGTATCAGAAACTTCCACCATATAAAGTGTACCCTGCTTCTAATCTCTAGCAACAACCGAGTTTTCTTTTGTCACATTCCATTTTTGATCACCAAATATAACATGGTGACCTTCATCATCAAGCTACCCCACTGATATTAATATCCTCTTCAAGATCTGGTATTATTCCTTTAGAGACTAGAATCTTCATTCCTTTCTCACTCATATGTCCAAGTATTTGGTGCCATAGAGTGGATGCCCCAACTTCTTCAATAGAATGTGCTTCAGTATCAGAAACTTCCACCATATAAAGTGTACCCTGCTTCTGATCTCTAGCAACAACCGAGTTTTCTTTTGTCACCTTCCATTTTTGATCACTAAATATAACATGGTGACCTTCATCATCAAGCTACCCCACTGATATTAATATCCTCTTCAAGTCTGGAATGAACTTGACATTCTTCAAAGTCCACTTTGTTCCTAAAGTCGTCTTGAGGACCACATCCCCAACACCACTAATATCTAGGCTCTTGTTGTCCACTAATATGACATTCCCACTGTACTGCCTGAAATTCTGCATTACTTCTCTAGAATGACTAGCATGGAACGACGCACCAGAATCCAAGATCCACGATTCCATTGAGTTTTCAACACAACAAATGAGTGCATCATCTTCAGAATCTGTTGCCATATTTACTTCCTTCTTGCCTATATCTGCCGAAGGCTTTGGGCACTGATTTCTGAAATAACCTTTCTCATTACAGTTCCAACAGATAATATCCTTCCTGTTATTCCGCTGACATCTCCTTCTTGACTTCGATCTTCCTCTACCACCGCCTCCTTTGTTGAACTTTCTTCCCCTGTCTTCAGTATTTAGAAGACTACTGGAAGCTTCACCGGCACTGTGTCTGCGCACATCCTCACCAAGGATTATATCGTGAATACCTTCGAATGATAGCTTAACACCTCCGGCTGAACTACTAATTCCCGTCACTGTGCCAGACCAATTATCGGGTAAGGATGATAATAGTAGCAACGCCATGACCTCATCCTCAATTCCAATTTGAACTGAAATCAACCTTGATATGATTGAATTGAATTCGTTAACATGATTAGTCACCGAGCTACCTTCCTTCATCCTTAGATTTACCAACTCTCTGATCAAGAAAACCTTATTCGCTGCTGAAGGTTTTTCATACATGTTAGACAACGCCTTGAGCAGTCCAAACGTTGTTCTTTCATTGACAGTATTGTAAGAAACGTTTTCTGCCAATGACAACCTGACTACACCAAGAGCCTGTCGATCTAACAGATCACATTCCTCCTGTTCCAACGCTCCTGGTTTATTTTTGGACAATGGTAGGTGTAACTTCTTCTGGTAGAGATAGTATTCGATTTGCATTCTCCAGAAACCGAAATCTTTACCATCGAATTTATCGATCTTAATTTTCCTATCTTCAGCCATAGCTCCATAGCTCTGATACCAGTTTGTTGGGAATGCAACAAAACAAATTAAGCACTTCGGACAAAACGATAACGATGTCGGTAACACTCGTGAAAGAAAAACGATTAAAAATGCAATTGAAAAATGAACACAATATTTAAAGTGGTTCGTTCTAATCTGACCTACATCCACTCGCGAACGAGAGAGAGAGAGAGGGGGGGGGGGGGATTTTATTAACACCAAGAAAATTACAACCATACAAGGCTAAAACTACACTTGTAATCAGACCACTCACTGTAAAGTTTTACTCGTATTTTGACTACTAAAATAAGGCTCTGCCCAAAATAAACTACCCCACAATTTTGGTTCACAAGAACCTGTAAAATCACTCTGTATTTTTGTTGCTTGTGTTGCACTATATATTTTTTGCATAATCTTCCTATATATGCATAAGGAAAGGAGTATATATATATATATATATATATATATATATATATATATATATATATATATATATATATATATATATATACCCGTTTGCCTTAAATCATGGAAGAAAACACGGTGCACACTTTTTCTTTTCCTTTCTTGACCAACTTTTACTTTCTTTTGTCTACCACCATACAATACCCAACAAAAACGACTTCTCCGATTTTAATTTTGCAGAGGCGGAAGTTTATGCCAATCTGTATGTGCTCTTGAAGCTTCGATTTGTCAATTTAAAGGTTCAAGTTAATCAATTTGAGTTATCTGTATGTGTTATTGAATGTTTGATTTTTTTCATTATGATATTTGTGAGTTTTTGAAGGTTCAGTTTTGTCAAATTCAGTCACTATGAGTTTTGATTTAGTCTCTAAATTTCTGGTTTGGCTATATTCTCGGATTTAAGATTTATGGTTTCCGATTGGTGGAAAGTGGAGTGTAGGTTGGAGGAAGAAGAAGATGGTGGGATGTGGGAGATGGAATGAAGGCGATGGAGACAGAGTTGAGCTTTTTGATCAATGACTGGTAGAGGGTGGTGGTGATTGCAGAGGGCGAGCTAGTGTAACCGGCTAAACTTGTGGTAACATGTTTTTTCGTCTTTTCTTTAAAAGTTATTATGCCATTATCCTTTTTTTTCGAGTCAAATTTACTTCAAACTAGAAAAGAGCCCATGCTTTGCATGGGTTAGAAAAAATTTAGAATTTTCCAAAAAAAATTGGCCCATTATCATTTATAGATAAACTATAATCAACTCATTTCCATATAAAAAAATTGACTAAAACGAAACTAAAGTTCTAATTCTTTTGGATGTCAAATGATCCAATAGTTTGTTAATATAATCAACACGTCAAACTAAAAAAAAAAAAAAAAAAAAAAAAAAAAAAAAAAAAAAGTATCCTCAGTATCGTTGTGGTAACCATCTAAGAGTAGTCCATTTTAGTGTCCATGCCAATTCATGTGCTGGCTTCCATCAGTTGCTAATTCTGATATATGTACCTGCCATTTAAATAGAATTGAACCCAAAACCAAGGGTATAGAGAGAGGGACATATATGCCTTCACTATACCTTTCTCCTTTGATTCAATGTAGAAATTTCTCAACTATAAACATAATAATATAAAAACAATAAGACAATGATTTTTTTTAGCAGTGAATGGATATAAACAAAACAGAAACGGATATATTTGAGTCTATCTTAATGTTTATCTTGAACATAGTTATATACAATAAGAGTGAAGTTTTTTTTACAACTTTTCAATAAGAAACTGAAAAAAAAATATACATACACTTCCTAAATTTGAAAAATAAAGTATTGTTTGTCCAATTCTATGCCCAAAAGAACAACAAATACTCTCTCATCAACTTGTTTATAATATCATTTTATTTCCAATGTTATATTTTCAATACGTTTTACAATATTCCCTTCCATTCCATCCAAGGGTATTTATGGAAAGAAAAAAAAACTGAACGGGTGATGCAACAATTGGAAGGCTAGCCACATAACACATCATGTATGTATATAAAAAATTATATGTAAGCTAATCATGGTGAACAAATAGTAAAAATTACCTATAGTCTCTGACTGGAAATGGTAATACCCCATTTTTCAAGACGATCTGTATTAACCTACAAACACCCAAAGAAAGACAATAATGAGCAAAGATAATGTAATTGGAAACTGATTTTAGGTCTTTTTTTGGTTAAATAATAGAAAGATACTCTTAATAAGGTACAGAAAGAAAGAAAGAAAGAAAGAAAGAAAGAAAGAACTGATCAAATTTTTATTACATAGCAGATCAAAAACGCCAGCCTCTTTAGTATAAATATGGTTTCTTACATTATACCCTGCTTATAAATCCAATAAAGAGAGTTTAACCAACCTTATTACAATATGCTGTCCTTATTTTATCTGCAAAGAGGAAAAACAAAAATAAACGAAACATTTAGTGATGGAATTATAAAAAGTAGAAAAAATGTAAGATTAGTCCATTTACTCCTTTTGTGCGTGATTGTTATCAGAAAGGGTAATATTGTCAATTGTGAATATAGGTCAATTACGTGCTTTATCTAGATATTTTAGTGTTTTAAATTATTATAAGATATTATATTTTTGAATAAGCTGAAACATATAAATTAAGTTATAAATGATTAAAACATGATCTCAAAACCGAAATAAAGTAGTGTTAACACATACAACCAATTATTTTCATTCCTTAACAGACCTTGAAAAGTCTGACATGAATTTGAAGTTTAACCTGAAGGATCTTAAAAGTGCCGAAGCTTAGAGGGAGATTAGGATGTTTCAATGAAGTGTTAATTATATATACATTGACTAATTTTGGAGCAAAGCATGTTGTACTCAGGGCAAGTCAAGAGTTAGAAAGTAAAAATATGGATAATAATAATAGGAGAAAAATTGAAAGATAATGAGAAATGTGTAAAATAACCCTCATATTTTTAAAATCAATATCAAAAAGATCCTTGACTTGGTCTTCATGCTTTAACCACTGATTCTTGACCCTTCAATCTTGCTTAATGTACATGACCTGCATTAGATATCTGTCACCATGTAGAATATATTAGGCACACATACAACCCCAAATGATGGATGCAACATTCTACTTCTAATACAAACATCTAGACATATGTTGATTTAACATTTCAAGACCTATAAAACAGACTCAACAGTCAAGAAAGAATTATCATAAAAGTATAAAGTTATGGCAATAAAGCTCAAAATCAGAATCCATACATGTAACACTCAAAGTAAAAGTCTATTCTGATCATATACCTGGAACAACTTTCAATTGAGCCTCTTGTTGGAGAAAATCAATAAAAAAAAAAAAAAAAAAAAAAAAAATCACTTGGTAATGGTTTGTAGAATCTAGTGAACAGACTGAGGATAAGGGTTTGTAGTGAAGTGTCTCTCCACATCCAATAGCCTGTTGATTTCATGAATTGCAGCCAAACTCAGAACGAATGCATATCATTTTGATTTGATCACTAAAAGATTATAAACGCATAATATAATCTAAAAACATATAACAGTGATTGAAAGCATTAGATTGTAAAGTAGATAAACCCTAAATACCTGTTAGAATAACCAAAATGGAAAAGCAGTAGCAAATTCATTAAAACTCAAACCCTATTTCGCAGGTCGATTTTTCTGGCCATTCAACGCCTTCAACTTCTTAAACAAAAAGATAATCCTAGATTTTGTACCTTCAATTAGGTAATCTTGGAATTTTGGAGGAAAAGGGCTTGAAATTAAGTAGATAGGAATGCAAACAGCTGTAATGAATGGATAAAATCAAAATAGAAATGGAAGGAAAACTATTAGTAGTCACAATAAAACCTGTTAGGGCTCGTAACTGGAAAGATGTTTTAGGGTTCGAGACTTGCAGTCCTAAAAGCTATTAAAGGTGATGTTTTAGGGTTCGAGACTTACTTCAAATCCGAGATGAACCCCTACTTCCATCTTCCTCCAGCACATAGAGGCAACAACAGTTTAATTTATTTCACTTCTGATAACATAAACATGTCACAAATCTAAAAAAAATAAAAAAGAACAGAGGGAGAAAGGGTTTTATAGAAAGGGACCTTACATCGCATCTGTGTCTTCATCTTCTAAAAAACTGTGAAGTTTTAGAGAGCATTTCAGTCTGTGGTGAATGGGGTATCTAGAAAATTGACAACCTCGCAGATAATTGAAATTGGCAGATGATCTTTACTTAAGTGGGTTGGCAGCCTCCAAAAATAGACGAACAGAAGGTAAAACAGGATGACGAATTGAGCCCGGAGTGGAGGTTATTCGATCGGTGGCGGCGGTGGTCACGTCTGTGGAAAATACGGGGATCCATATTTCCCCGATAATGATTCCAACAAATGCAAAAGAAATCCTTTAGTGAAATCACTTCTAGAGAGAAACAGGAAGAGAATGAGAACATGTAGAGGTCAAAAGAATGGTGGTGCTAACAGAGGGAAGAGAAGAGATGATTAAACCTGATGAAGACAGATAAAAAACACGTGTCTATGACACCGAGACAACCATGGAGCACCCAATTTCAACGACCGACAAACTGTGGCTATCACCGACGCAGGAGCAAGTGGAAGGGGTCGATTTCGGGAAAACCTTGACGAAAATCGTTCTTTATTTCTCCGCTTTGCTTCAAGATTTTGGAGGTTTGATTTTCTGAAAGGAAACGAAAACGGGAATTCCAGAAATTTTGAGGCAAAGGAAGCAAAGAAGGATTGAAAGTAGCAAGAGCAAGAGATGAATCAGCTATTAATACCAAGGTGATGTCCATGGCGATGCTAACAGATGAGCAGCGTATATAAGCAGATAGCGTTGGGAGACGGTGGCCAAGACACAGACCCAGTTCAGAGTACCTCCCAAGAAAAGAATTGAGGCGGTGGATTATATCGAGTCGGTGATGGAAGGCAGATTATTTGAGACCGACCGGTGGGATAAAACTAACCAAGATAAACTAACTAACCCAAGGAACAGGGTACCTGGTCAGTTACTGAGGAACATAAAATTAATCTATATATCTATATATAAATATAAATACTTCAATTTCTTCTATTTTTTACATCTTAAACACTATTAGAGAGGTGGGTGTGGGCAACGCCCACACGAGTTACTAGGCTAAAAAACAAAAAAACGCCGTTACCAAATGTGATGGTGGTAACGGGAGGTAACGCGAAAGCCTTTAACATGTAATAACAGGAGGGAGAGGCGGTGTTCATTGGCGTTATCACGTGTTATGAGGCACAATAACGGGAGTGGGCGTTGCCCACTCCGAGTAGTCTTATGCCTTTAATATATGTCTATGTCATTGTTGTGGCTCGTAAAACCTGATGCTCGACGTTTCCCACCACACACAATATTTGGAATCTTGATAACAACGTATTAGAATTTGAATAATATTATGAATAAAAATATTATATTTTGGAAATTGTTTTAGATAATAAATAATAATATCATTTCAACAACAATACCTAACATTCATAAAAAAAAATTACAACTTGAATAAAATCGTTAAAACAAAATGTAGAAATTCTTTGTGCCACATAAAATCTAATAAATAAAAAACAACTTTTATTGCAATTTCTTAATCTATTCTAATGGTATATAAAAAAGGAAAACATCGACAAAAGAATAAAAACAAACAAAATAGAAAAATCTCATTCCCTCGACAATATTCCATTTCACCAAACAACTATCACAATTTCAGATTCTTAGATAATAAAAATAATAAATTTACACTTAAACCGCTGATCAATCTCATTATTATTACTTCCTATAGTATCATCATTATTTCATTTATTCATTTAGTCGATATGTGCATTATGTCATAATTTGTGTTTTGTTCATATAATAGAATATATTATTTAATTTGTCAAAACATATCGGGAAAAAGAGATTTATGAGCGAGTGGGAAGTGAAGTAAAGCTAGGCCACAACTCCAAGCTCCAGCAACAAGGTGTGGTTGGTTTTATCAGCTTCATGGGACCTGCCAATTGTTTATGGGACCTGCCAATTGTTTATGAAGTGAACAAATACCAGGATCAGTGGCGGAGTTAGATTGAGCGTTGGGTACAATTGTACCCCAAAATAAATTTTTATATATTAGTTTTCTATATGTAAGTAAACATAACTACTTTGCACCCCCAACTTGAAACATTAAATATTGTTGCTCGTCTTTTTTTCTTCTCATGAATCGAAGTGATTGCTGCCGAGAGTTTAGAGACAATAGCAAGATCGGTATTCCACCATCCATTCGAAAAGTTTTGTTAAAAAATACATTTTCAAGAGGCTTCACGTTTTTATCCAATTTTTGATTGTTCAAATGTTATTTTAAATTTCGATTATGTTTGTACCCGTGTATTAAAATTCCTGGCTCCGTCACTGACCAGGACTCATATATCTATTTTGAAGGGCTCACTCCTCCCTCATTGATGCAGATTTTTTGAATGGTGCACCTTAAAAATGTATAGGTAATTAGGAGCAAAACTAGTCAAACTGGCAAAAAGATTTGAAAGCAACTCACGGCCAACCTCAACCTTTCTTTATCACAATTTAAGATCCATTCGTTACAACATCATATAACATCATTGTTCATATGTTCTTTGTACCTTCATGATTTTGACGTGAGCAGTTTTTATGATGGTATCATATCATTTGCTTTCATGGTTTGACATTTCATTGCAAGAGGTAATATCAAAATGACAGATGTGGCAAACCCCATCATTTTCGATCAATTCTACTGCGATTCACCTAAAAGTTGTAAAAATCAGGCCAGTATTTATTAGATTTATCATCTTTTCAAATTATAAAAACAAATGGAATTGAGGGTAAAATCATCTTTTTCTATTCTGATTACAAACGTCAACTTTAGAGATAAGTCAACCTATGTCTGAGGGCATAAGTGGGACATCAAATAGTCTGAAGGCAATAAGGTTTGCATGTAGTGACACAGTTTTGTGTGTCACACCTCCGAACCAGACGGCGGAAAACGTCCGGAGGTTTGTGCGTGATTTCATCTTGTAATATCATCACAATCCATATAATTGAAACAAGACAACACCATCATCATACATATCAAAATACAACCAACATTGTTTACAAGTATAGTATCATAAATTACATGCCAAAATATTCAATGTGTGATGATAACAAAGTATAACAAATTCCACACTTCTTGCTGACCTTTCTGCTTAACGATTTCCTGAGAATACAAGTTATTTTGAAAACGTCAACATATATAATGTTGGTGAGTTCATAAGCATATTTGAATGAAAAGTTTTGTATTGTTCATAAAACACCAGAAAATCCGATATTTTCTGTAAAAAAATGGTTTGAAAGTGATGTATCAAAAATAAAGTATTAATGCATGTGTGTTTTCTGTTTTTGGAATGTATATAAAAATGTAATCCGGAAAAAACCCTGTATTTTTGTTGTAAGTAGAAGGTATTGTTTAACTGTGTATTTCCCCAGAAAAATCCTATATTTTCTGTTTATAAGAGTGTGATGGTCTCAATCCTAAGACCGAATATCAGTGTATGTATGTTTTCGTATCAACAAGATTTTTTTTAAGTGATCCATAAAATTATGTTGGAGGGGATCTCTATGTGAGCCGTTCTAACCATACTTGATTATGACGATTTCGCCTGTCGTGGCGTTTTCAGGCGCCAACTTGTTTTAAGGTAATGTGACACCCCAAAATTTCTATCTTGTACAGTTATTCAATTCAATCAAAGTCAGACTCGTTTCTGCTATCATTTAGCATTGTTTAGGGTCTGTTTGAGTGTTCCGAGTCTTGTACATTCAAGGTTAGGGTATAGAATGAGTTCTCAAATTTCATAGTATCAAAATCGAGCCAAACACTCCAACATGAGGAGTGTACGGCCGTACACATGGGTGTACGGCTGTACACCCATCCATGGTCGTGAACCCTTCCATATAAAGGTGATACTTAGCCTTCATTCAACTCTTTTCACACTCCTAAGCCAAGAACTCGGATTTCTCTCTCAACTATCTTCAACTTCCATCATCTAGATCTTCAAAAATGTAAGAACTCCTTCCATTTCTTTGTGATTATCCTTCTTGATCTTGAATCACCCTTTGATTTCATCCATGAAATTACTCTTTTTGGGTAGATCTTCAAGTGTTCTTCACTTTCACCAAGAACACCAAGAACACTTACTAGTTCTTTGTGGCTGTGAACACTCATCAAGCCTCCAAATTGGTGAGTAACTACTTCCTATGCTTGTTACCTACTAGAATCACTTGATATTCACCTTAAATCATCATCTAATGCATGAACACAAAGAGTGTACGGTCGTACACCCTTCATATGGTCGTACACCCCTTGTTTAGTGCATATCTAGGCCTTCAAACCATGTTATGTCCCCACATTAGATCATGGACACTTAGAGGATGCTAGATAGGGCCGTAAAACACCTTCTTGGCATGTTCTGCAAGGAGTGTACGACCGTACACTCCAAGGCCGTACACCCAGGTGGTTGTACACACAAGTGGTCGTACACACCTTGGCCGTACACACTCATGTGTGGCCTTAAACCCCCTTTTATGCAATCCTTTGTACTTGTAACACTTCAATTTAAGTGTTTCCTAAGTCCTAAGGTGTTTTCCTTACATGATTAGTTGTATAAACACTAATTGTGTATATATATATATATATATATATATATATATATATATATATATATATATATATGTGTGTGTGTGTCATTATATGATAAATAGGATCCATGTGTGTTCGAGTCTTCAGTTGACACTTAGCATCCTACAACCAATCTTTCATTCGTATCACTCACTGCAGGTGAGTTCATACCCCTTAAACTTATCTTTTAAATGATTTTAAATGCTTTTATGGGGGGGGGGAATACAAGTGAAACATTATAGTTATTATATCAATCATATGTGATTAATAACTATCAAACAGATGGATTTCTTATACTTCAAACTGTGTTTTCAAACAAATTGTTTCAAATCGTTTTTACAAACTCTTTTATATGCAAAAATCCTTATTAAACTCTTTTAAACTTATATATTGTCAAAATCATGTCTATATAGATATAGTTATATAAGTAGGATTGAAAGGGCTTATGACTGATAACTCGCCTTATTTCTTGTTCCTTGTTTGGTTGTGGACTCAGGGTACCGGTTGTTTATCCGAATGTCGTTTTAATCTTAGTTATATATTATGTATATGTATATAGATATAAAAGTTCTTCGTTCGGTTCAATACCTTTGGGTGGCAAAGGTGTACACACATGTTCATTCATACAAACAACATTGCTAGTAAACTATAATAGGTATATAGTTTAGGAAGTCACTATTTACTACTTCTAGAACAATGAAACATACAAGAGTCAGTTCATACATGAGTCAGTTCAAACATACTATAATGAGAAACAGTACATACTATAACGAGAAACAGTACATACTATAACGAGAAACAGTACATACTATAACGAGAAACAGATAGAACATACCACACACTAGACAGAGAGAACATGCACTACACTAGAACATACTATACAAATACAAGAATACTATAACATTAATGTGAGATACTACTTCATGGCGCGACAATATACTGATGTGTCACATTTTGTACCCAGAGTCTCCTGGAGGGAGAGCGTGAATTTGTGTATAGATCTATACAGGATTGACCATCCCACACCTTTCTGCTAGCTACAGTGGGACCTGCAGGTTTACGGGTGACGAATGTCATATCATTTTCGACGTCTCGAACGTCGTGTTATACTAGTCAAT